GCTAGTATATTCTTTCATAGAATACCTTACTCGGAATATCCATCATTCTGTTTGTGTAAGCCTGACTGAATATGAATTTCTTGAATACACAGAGAAAAAAGTACCTCCACACCGCAGCCTCCCCATCCACCCGAATGACAAAGAAAACCGGATAAAACTTTTATTTTACCTCTACAATATGTTAGGGTAGTTTCACGTTGAATGAAGGTGATCTTTGTTTCTAAGAATAGTTTTTTAAATGTAACCATGAGTGTCATTATTTGTGAGTTTTTAAGGAAAATTCAAGTCAGACTTGATATTTGCATAAAGTGTTGGTGCGCGCATGGTGTTCTCAGTGTGAGCGATCGTGGGTCGGCGCTTAGCGAAGGCAAGCATACTTACCTGGCACAGGAGATACCGTGATCACGAAGGCGGTTCTCCCAGGGCGAGGCTCACCATTGCACTCCGGTGGCGCTGACCCCTGCGATTAACCCAAATGTGGTTAACTCGAGTGCGCAATTTTTGGTAGCGGGGGACTGCGTTCGCGCTATCCCCCTTAAAACGTCTCACAATTACAGTAAATCAAGTTTCAAATCCCTAATGAAACTAGCATCTTTCCCGTTAAATATGGACGATGAAACTGGTCTGGCCCTATCACACTTCATGTAAAGCGCTATCCGAGTCTGGGGAATCACGGACATTCTCGTGCATTTAGAGCAGCAGCCAAGAGAGTGGTATTGACCATTCTGTACTCTCTGATATGGGTTGGGGTCGAAGTATATAAACTTTGTTTTAAGTGGTACCAATAATGTTCATGCAGCCGTTATTTTTTAGGCCCTTTTTGGGTGTCTGGTAAGCCTAAGGTAGCCGACAGTATGTCTGGCAAGGGTCACTTTGTAGTTGGTGGAATGTTACCTTTCATGCAATAGATGTTTGCCAGAACACTGTATGGGGTCAACTTTTGGCCGTGTCTGACGGGCATAATGCAGCAGGTAATTTGTCTGTCATTGTGCATTCTGTACTCTCTCAGATGTGTTGAAGTATGTAAACTTTAAAGATAATGTCTGGCATGAACAATTTTTTACCCAGTGATATGTAAATTACCCTGAAATACATTGTGTGTGGTACCCCTTTATGTTTGATCTAGCTGATTTCGTTTGCCCCTTTACGCAGCAGGGGGTCCCCGGCAGACGTCCAGTTCCTCATATGGCCTTTCATTCTCTACATGATCCTGTACTGAGCAATTGGTGCCAAGTTCGTTTGACCAAACCTCCGTTGGTTGCCGGTCTTATTGATGACATTATTATTATTGCATCTCATATAGAAGTTTACGGTGTTCTCAACTAAGAAATCGTTACCGAGTTCAATAATCTCTTGAATACTTTTGATTTGATATGTACACCAGTGAGTTCATTCGATAAACACTAAATAGAAGAAAATTTTCCTTAATATTCTTCATATACTAATTCTGGTACTAATAAATTACTTATCAAATTTGTATAACATATTGATCAGTACCCTGTTATCCCATCTTATACATTTCCAAGGAAATAGACAATGTAGGTATCACTATGTTTTGGGAAATAGCAATGTTACATTTATTGAAATGTTCTCTCTTTAAGGACTAACCTTTGTAGCTGCTAATTTTTGTCATAGTAACCCAATATCCTTCCCTCAAGTGGGCTTGTTTCTGGATATGTAATAAACTTTTTTATTTTATTATATTTTATTTTTATTTCTATTCATTATGAATTAGCGTTCTCCATACACCGTTTCTGTTATATAGATTGTTCATATGTGAGGGAAGCTTTTCTTGATTTCAACGTTTCCCATACCTTTAATGTTGTAGTCTAAAGATTTTCTCATTTATTCGACAAATGATCAAACAATGTGTTCACACACACTCACACATGTACACACACCCATGTATATATTGTGTATGTACGTATCACACTTATACGTACATATATATATATATATATATATATATATATATATATCATATATACGCAGACCTACACATACATATTGTGTGTCTGTGCGTATCACACACACACACACACATTCGAATACCTGAATGCAAACAACCATTACAATTCTACATATTGAACTTATTGTATGAACTCATTTGAACCCACCGAAGTGGGCTATAGAAAAAATTGAGTAAGACTCATTGAGTTGTTCCCCTCCACGGAAATCTTTAGTAAAAGGCGAAAGATTTATGCGTTTTGAAGGGAAACCAGAGTTGGCTAGAACTGGTAAACGAATTGACCAACAAAAGTAGACTGAGGACTTCGAGCAATGAGTATAAAGGGAAGAAAGGCTCGTCTTGAAATTGTTATTATTATTATTATTTTTTTTTCTTTTAAGGAATAGCACGCTTAAAAACAGATGGAATACAGTAGGTTCTATGAAGAAATATGCATTAATGGGACATATAGTTTAGTCCCTGATTCCCCGTTCTTGATAAATACAATTGTCTTCCATTTTCCTTTTATATATTTTGATTTATATAATTGATCAAATAGGTGGAGACTGTCAATATTTCAGAATGGGCAAACTACGCCCACATATTACTGCATACATTTACCAACCTATGAATATGGGATACTTCGTTTTATTAGAACAAAGTCCTCATTAAGATGGTGTGTACAAGTGAATTTAGAATGTGAAAGTATGATCATATTTTATAGGATCACTTCTATAGTGCGATTGCCGGGTTTCTCGCCAAGATTCTCGGAATATGTTCAACCACGATGAGGACTGTTAGTGTAATCCTCTGAGCGGGAAGCGGCTCTCAAGTTGTGCTTAAGAGTTTTGATGACCGTTTTACTCGTTACCGATGTTAGAGGGAGGATTGTACAGGCTGAGTGGTTGAATATCAGTCCACATGAAGTATTCTTGAACTTTTGAAAAACCATATAAGGAGAAAAAAATATATATTATAAAGATATAAGATAATAAACATATTAAGATATTAGCTGCCTGGTGAGTTATAGTTTCCAAAACCAAAACTGAAGTATCAATACTTGTTTATTAATGTAATATTTTCATCATTTCAAATGTTTGAACCAGATTTGAAATAAACTCATTTTCAAATGTAGATACTCCGTGGCTTTTACATATAATTATTATTGTTTTGTCTACTATTAATGCCATTCTTCGTATTGCCACTGCTTCTACTATGAATGTAATTATTCCTGTTTCCATTGGCAGTAACCTCCTATAATTCTACTACCTTATTTTACTCTGTGAGTATGTGATTTGGTAATAGTAACGCTGAAGTCTATGAATGAATGTTTAATTATGAACACGAATCGTGATTGTGTAATAACGTATGCCATTATTATAGGGTTTTGATATATGTAAATAAAAAAAACATACATCTATGAACCTCATTACCCCCTGTGAAATACTCAATGTTCAGCTTAACTCGTTGGTCGTCGTACAACTTAGAATACCATGCTAAGCATTTGTGGTTGTAGTATCGTGTGGTCTAGTGGTTTGACTCTCTGGGTTGTGTGTGAAGAGTATGTTCTGGACTGTCAAGTAGGGTATTGACATTTCCATATGAAATCCGTTAATGAATTCCCCCATCTTCATACACTTCAAAGTTTGTGGAGGTTGCGATGTTACATGAATTAGGAATGCGTGTTAGTCCCTTACTTCACAGTGAAGATGCTTATAAATTAAAATGAGTTTATATCCTCCCCGGAGGGAGTGGACCAATCCCGGAGGTACTGCAATACCGGGCCGATCCGCGGCAAAGGTGGAGCAAGCCCCTAGCACTTCGCCATTTTCCAAAAATCAGTTTAATATCGTAGATCCCACATGGGGATCGTATCAGATATTAAGCTGATAAGAACAGATACTACACTTTGATCTTAGCCAAAAGGCCGAGAAGCGATACTGAAAGCTGGTTGAAATTGTGCCTGAGAAAATGTTTCTGAGGACTTGCCAGTGAAAGTGTTTACGTGTAGAAGGGCGTATGTTACATGTAGTAATCAAGTTGACGTAATGAGTTATTTAAATCTTGGTTTGCAGTTATTATTTGTATCCATATGATGATTCCAAGAAACTGTTGCTGGTATTTTTAAATATGATAAGCTCATCGGACATCAAAGAAAAAACGAAAATACTTCTACCTTCAGAACCAATTGTCACAACCTCTTTAACACATCCCACACAAACACCCACACTCATACAGGCATACACTTGTCTGCACATAAGCATATACACGTGCGTAAACATATGCACACATGATATGTATGTATAAAAAATTCATATGTACTTATTTGTATAATAGTAAACGACCACAGTGTTTACGCAAGTATACCCAGAAAAGAACCTACACGTTTTCTTTGGGCCATTAACATTTTAAAACGCATATATATAATATATATATATATATATATATATATATATATATATATATATATATATATATATATATATATATATATATATATATATATATATATATATATATATATGGATCACATGTTCCTTGTGATAAATGTATAATATAGTCGAGGCTCTGAATGATTTATAGATAAGTTTGTACTTAAGAACATGCGAATACTACATGTACCCATACATTAAAACCACCTCAATATTACATTTATGCAACTATGTTCTTACATGTTTATCTATCTATATATATGGATGTACTGATAGATAGGATAAACGGTGTATGTTAGTGTATGCATGCATAAGTGTATTCTTACGAACATTGTGATGAATTGCCACGAAGTTAAAAGTCGTAGAACCGGAAAAATCTTATTAACTTTAGAATTTGTTACAGGTAGTTCACATTTAATAAATTGTAAATGACCTTTGTTTCTGTGTAGCTTTGAAATATAATGATGAGTGTCATTACTTAGGAGTTTTTAAGGAAAATTCAAGGCCGACCTGATATTTGTATAAAGTGTTGTAGCGCGCGTGGTGTTCTCAGTGCGAGCGAGCGTGGGTCGGCGCCTAGCGAAGGAAAGCATACTTACCTGGCACAGGAGATACCGTGATCACGAAGGCGGTTCCCAGGGCGAGGCTCACCATTGCACTCCGGTGGCGCTGACCCCTGCGATTAACCCAAATGTGGTTAACTCGAGTGCGCAATTTTTGGTAGCGGGGGACTGCGTTCGCGCTATCCCCCTTATAACATTTCAGTTTTACAGCAAAGTATTCTAGATCCACATGTCTAGCTTTAATGAATTTGCGTGCATATATTTAGTGGACTCAACCAAGATAAAGAAAAATGCTGTGATAACACAGATGAATTATTCTAATACAATATAACTTTGAGTAATCGCGCAATATCGATCTAATTCGTAAATGTTCACATATTGAAATACGAAAGTTAATTTAATTTTCATAGAATAGCTAGGCAGACCTGGTATTACCCATCCAAAATATTTTATCTTTCATTCAAATTATATACTATTATTGGTCATTTTAGGTACTTTAAAGGTAATCCCATAATTGCTATTTCACAACAAATTCGAACAGGAGTGCAAAACTTTTATGTATATATTGATAAGTAGGTAGATAAATTGGTTCATACCATAAACTGTATCTCAATCGACCATTTGATGGGAAATATTAAACAATTGTAACCGGAAGATATGTGGAAGCGAGAAAAATGTTAAACCATGTAACCATGTATATATATATTTCCCAGGAGTAAAACTTTCCTCCTAGTAGAAAACGACCTT